CTGGCAGCTCTGTCTGCTTGCCTGAATACCCATAAATTACCCGGACCCTAAGTCAGAGTCTACAGAACCCAAGAAGCCAGTGTCGAATATCCGTTTGGGTTGGTTCTTTCTTTTTACATAGGACTTGGACAGCTTTAGTAAGTTGGGATACAGATCTCTGCTCCCCATAGACGGAATCCGAGGTCGGTTTGTCTCTTAATTACCTTCGCAAGGACAGCATCATTTGCCTTCATCGTGGCACAACATAACATAGCAACGCAGACAGACCCAGGCTAGCGGCTAGCGCTTTTTCGAAAGGTCCTTCGTGTTCGGACATCAGCTCCCCCCAGGACGCCTCCGACGCTTCTGATGTCACGGCGGCCTTGTCCCTTTGCCATGATGGTGCAGGTTTTGTTTTCTCTTTGATGCTGAGACAGTTGCTGCGTCTTTGGGCCGGTCATCTCATGACCGCCGCTCCAACCAGAATCTTCTTTCCTGGAGAGCTGAGGCTGGAGTGGTTGGCAAGATCGAACCCGCCCGCGCCGCCGGCATGAGCGGTAAACCCCGATTAATGTGGCACCTTCCAGCTGTCACACCAGCGCTGATCGGAAAGTTTATGGACGGGTTGTGATGTCTGTTCACATCCAGACCCTATGCTTTTCTGCTTGCTCGGCTAGCTAGACCAACGCAGGAGTTTGAAAACACAATTCCGAATGACTTAGTTATACCTCACAACGAATCTCGACACAGAGATCTTAACTAAGACCACCTTCCCAAGTGACATGAAAGCTGCTTAGCTTTCGGCAAGTCGGGCAGGGCTTGGACCCTTGCGTCCTCATGGAGCTCCTCCAGTTTTCCCCTAGCCTGGAGGAGAGTGCCTAGAGGGTCCAAGTATCTAAGAATCATATACCTCATAGCTTCTATCCTAAACCGGAGTATAGCTAGTTATCGTCCTTTGGACCCTGGGTTAGGGTGATGGTAAGGGTCTTAGGAGATGTCGAACCTGGAGCTCTGTCTAGCAGATATTGGCCTGCATCACCCAGTGGCACTCTACATCCTTGGGGTGTATCCCATCTGTACAGCCACATGTGTCGTCACGGAGGGGAAAATGGAGGCTGGACGGTCCGCCGAACTCCAATTTCACATGCAGAAGGTTTGGCACAGTTTAGCCGTTTTGGTACCCCCTTCGCCTGTTGAGCTTCTGCTTTTCCCAGAGCGTGCACGCGGAAGATGATGGCACCGGAGAAACAGCTGCGGTGGTTAAGGGTTTGGGCCTTGCTTGCGCTCTGCTGATATGTTCTAATTCTGGTTGTCGCAGCCCATCAGAGCTGCGCAGAGTGCTCAGACAGCACTGGCCTGCGTCTGTCTGAGAAAGCTCAAGAAGGATTGTGCTGAGAAGTTGTTTACAACTTGTACTCGTGACGTGTTCCGGTCAGCAATTTGCCACGTCGAGACCACACCGACCAGCAGTTGAATTCCCACGTTCGGCACTTCTCCCGCGTCCTTGGATTGACGTGGAAAAGCTCCGAATTCGTATGAAGATGTAGTGAGTAGTTAGTAGCAACCAGACTAGTAATCATGAGACCAATATTATCCATAATCCTGATTATCTCAGGCCACTTGGTCTCCGTCCCGCACCTCGCGTACAAGTGCCACGAGGCATGATCGTAAGCAAAGACAGTTCGTGCCCAAAGCCCTCTTGCAACAAGTTAGCTTAGAAAGGTATAGTTTTCCGAAGATACCTGAAGTCCGACTTTGACACCGTTAACAGCCAGGAAATTTGCGACTCTTGGTCTCGGATCTTGAAAAGCCCTTGGTACCCCTTAGCTAGGCGTTGATTTCCGTGGTGTTGGCACATTTTCTGCCACCATGCAGTCGCGGGCTATACATGCCCATCTCGAAGAGTGTACATTATGCCGCGTAGTTCCTTGGCAGGTTGAGCTGTACCTGTTCCGGGATGTAAGATCGGGCAAGTTTCTGATTCGGAGATGTTCATGGCATCCCGGGCGCTTAAGCCCGAAACCATGCACCAAAGTGTTCCTTTTCTAAAAGTGGTGCGAGGCGCTTCTGCGAAGACAGGACCCGGGCTTTCCGACACACTTATGCATAGGTAGGTATGTGTGTGTGTGTGTGTGCGTGTTAATCTTTTCAGGTATCAGTATTGCGGTGTATTTGCAAGGCATTGTAAGGCATTATGATATTTGGCGATATGCACGCATACTACACGCCATTGCTTAGCAGTGTCCAATTACTATCTATCTATCTATCCCTCTATCTCTCTACCTATATATCTGTCTGTCTATCTATCTAGCTACGTAGCTAGCTATATATCTAGCTACCTAGCTATCTATCCGTCTGTCCAACTATCTACCTATGTAAGGCGGCAGCTACAGCTAGGCAGGCAAGCGGTATATAGGTGTAAAAGTAGGTATGCAGGTATGTATGTTGATACATATACACATAGTTTTCCTAGGCCAGTCAACCCGCCAGCCGGGTGTAGTACTTCTTCAGTGGAAAGAGGCCCCAGGTCAATGTGTGAGGTAGACTGTTGAAAAGGATCCTTTTATCCTGAGAAGCTGCTAGTCCTGGCAACTTAGGGTCTTGATTGCACCAGCCGGTTCCTGCTCAGGAGCTGACCTTGGAGAACATACTCGCATTTCTAGCCGACAGCCCGCAGAACATTGTGAGCTGAGTGGGCCAGTGGAGTCATGTGTAGAAAGGATGTGGTGCTAGCACGTGTTTGTTTCTCTTCTCCAGTGCCATGGTGTGCCAAAGAGCATACGCGAGGGGCCTGGCACAAAAGCTCACCACGACCTACCTGCAGTCGCTGCTCAAGCACACACACAGAGTGGGGACGCGGGGACTGAGACAACAAGATGTGAACTCCTGCTGCCAGGGCATCCCGCAAACTGGCAACGATGGGGGAGGCAGGCTCCAGTTTGTTGTTGCCTTGCACGTTTGAGGCACGGGTATGGCACATTTCAAGTTCGTGATTCGACGAGGAGTCTAAGAAATGTTCACCCAGAACCTATAGACCAAAGAGTCTACTCGATCTGCCTGACTAGCTTCTGTCTATCTACCCGTATCGACCTGTCGACCTGACAGCAGCAGTGTATCTATAGCGTGGGACAGATTCATGAGACAACACATGACCCAGCCTCGCTGGCCAGGGTTCCTCTCAAGCAGCTCCCGTGCCGATGCGGTTGAACCAGGCACCGATGCCTCCCTGCACGGATCTCTGAGCTGCTGATGTTGCTGGTTTCTGATGCAAGCGGTGATGATGAGGAGGATGACAATGCTAACCTTAATGATGTTGAGTTAGAGGTTGACAGTGCTGATGAGGGCCCTGGTGTGCCACAATGGTGCTGATGTGGGCTTTGCTGCTGACACGGAGGTGCTTGAGAAGAAGATGGGTGTCGTAAGTGTAGGTAGTGATGGTGGTGTTCAGCATTTGGTTGTAAAGCTTGTTTCATTCTCCGTGGCCTGGGATTCTGCAGTGATCGCACGGCACGGACAGGTTCGCGGTTGGTTGACCTGTGCCCAATGACATAGAATGCAGACGATCTCTGCAGTAGGACCTATAGGACAGTTTTCTAATGAGCCCAGTATTGCGTCGGCCATTCATATAGGCCCTACCCTCCAAGCATGCACGTGCTACAATCTGGACTCGCCCCAGTTCTGTGGGTTTAGGGCTGGCCAGTAGGCCGAATGGCACAGTCAGCATTTCGAAAACTAATGCCTCTGTTTGGTGGCCTGGGCTTGCCCGAAGTATCAAGTTACTCAAGTTGCCGGACCTCTATGATTCAGGCCTGCGCACCTCGTGCTTCAATAAAGCCGCAAAGAACGTGTATACATCGGGGCATAGCGCGTGCCATTCCAGCTCATGTTGCAGTTGTCTTTTCCATCTTTATGTGGTCAGCCACTCTGATGCGTGGCCGAGAGCCTCACCTGAGCCAAGCAAATCCGAACATCAAGAGGTCGAAGCCCAGGGCACTTCCCCCATGGGTCCAATTACCTGATAATCATACACTCTCCGAAATCCTAACCTACATAACTACTATCCTCAAACCAGGGACCTGATTATTGGGTCCTTTGGACCCTTAGGGTTCTATATGGGACCTGGAAGAAGGTTTGTTGCGAGCCTCGACCAGGCGGCCATTCACCAGGAAACCAACTGGGAGAGTCCAAGGCTCAGTTGGTGGGGACTCACATACGCGTCTACAATACCCGATTGTGCCGATACAGTCGGCTGATACACGCACGCATACACACACAGAGGATATATATATATACCTAGAGAATCCTTCGGCGTTTATTTTCGCCGCCAAGCATAACGGCGTTTATTTTCGCCGCCAGATACCAGAAACGCCGACAGTAAACAGAAACGCCGACACAAAAACAAAAGCGCCGCCAAAGACACTAGACTTCTGATGATTGAAACAAGACAAGATACATTCTGTATAATTGACACCTTGAAACCCAACCAAAAAGCTGAAGCCCTGAAGCCCTGACTGGTTTGAGGGTTGGGGCGGTTGGGGCTGGTCGATGTTTCAAGATTGGAGAATGGTTAAAGAGATCTAGGGTTCAAGCTGGGCGATGTTTGAAGCTGGAGAGTGGCTAAGGCAACTCTAAACATCTTGATAGTCGAAGCCTAAAGACGAGGGTTGTTGCTTGATTGCGGGTTCGGGTCCGAAAGAAGGTTCGAGAGGCATGGTGGCTCAGACCTGTTCAATCCTGTTCATTCAGAGAACCCTGAACCCCTGAACTTAAAGCACCCTCAAACCCCCACACAACCCGGCAGTCCACCACTCAAAGTGTTACGTTCGAGAGCCCTGAACCTCTGAACCTTAAGCAGCCCTAAACCCCAACCCTCCGGCTCCATCCTTCATTTTGGCGGCCATTCGGTGCCGAGCTGCTGGTGTCCAAGCTGCAGCCGTGGTGTCCCTTGGGCTTCCTGTATCTATAGTGTAAAGACCCTAAACCTGATATATAGGGGATGCTATACTTCAAGCCCGTGGAACTCAGAGCCGCAGCTTTCGGCTGGATCGGAGCTGTCGGTGCCTCCTGATGAGAGCTGCCTTTTTCAGGAAGTGTCTCTGCAGAACCCGCTTGCTGATCGTTGTCACCGAAACTTTGATCGATAGAGCACAGACTCGACCGATAAGGTCCTCTCCTTGCTCACACCCCCACATGATGGGGTTCGGGATGAGCTTTGCATTGGCCAGCAATGCTTGTCGGATCTCATATGCCACATGGTGGATGCCGTGGAATTTGGGTTTCAGCGCAAAAAACGGCATCCTCATCGTCAAAGCATGCTGAGCCAGATGCTGGTAGCCCGACAGTACGGACATCAACCTCAAATAAAGATTTTGGGCACATGCCCTCCTCAGCCACAGACCATGTTTGTACATCAAAGTGAAGGCCTTCTGCGACTCCAGGATCGTCTTCTTCAGAACACGAAACAAAACAGCATGTGCGGCAGGCAAGTTGGGTCTTCTCAGCAAGATCGTCACATAGAAGCTGAGATATTCCAACAAGAGCATGGTATCCGAACCCTTGGTGTTCGCCCATGCGAAGTCGGTCAACCGTTTCAGATTGAACAGAGATTTCGAAAAGTATCGTACAGCTGCTGTCTTGTGGGATGCCAGTCGCCACAGTTTGAAATGGGAGAAGCAGCGGTTGAGCCTCGACTTGATATTTGCATCATCGCCGCCATTCGGATCATCGTAATATCCAAGGCGAGCCAAAAAAACCAGGGAGCCACAAATATCTCGTCCAAGCCCAACTTTGAAAAGATGGAACATGTCATATTTCAGAACTCTTTCCGGTGCATCGCTGTCGTGAGGGACATTGCACATACCAGGTGTCGAGTCCCAAGGTCGCTGCTGGAAAAGTGTCGAAGCCCAGGATGGCTCGTGAGCCAGCTCATCAAAAGGAATAGCGGGACTCGTGCCCGCCATGCAATGTGCACAGACACCATTGTAGTTCACAGGGCCCAAACGAGCATAGTATCTGTTGAGATAGGCGATTTTTTCAGCGATTTGTTTCATATCGCCCTTGATCCCAACAAGGCAAGCCGTATAAACCTTCCCACCAACCTCCAGGCCCGAAGAAAAAAGCAGCGAGAGCTCGTCAGCAACCTGCTGGGTCAGCTGCTCCAAAACTTCTGGATGGTGTTTGTAAACCCAATCTGGGAGGCCGAAAAGCACATGTCTGGTGAGGTAGGAGTGGCCTTTATTTGTATGGGTTTGCTTGAGGGCGGCCTCCTCCATCGGCGTGTACGGGCCGGCTGCTTGCTGGCCCGGAACAAACTGCTGCGGTGCCTTCTTCACATCCTCTTCGCAAGTGCAAGAAAAGTCCTCGGCCACGTCCCACAAACCTATCGGTGACTCGATGGAGGCCACCACGAAGTTGCCTCGCTTCGGGCCTTTGCCTTCATCTGAATAAAAAGCCAATGGAATCGTGGTCCCGAGGTCCAGCCCTCGATCGAACACCGGATGGGTGCTGTGAGTCTGCCTGTAAGCCATCCAGTAGGCCTGCAGTTGGAACTCCAAAGACTCGTTGCCCCCAGCGAGCAATGAGCGATTGCGTTTCAAGAGATACAGCAACCAGTCTTGCACTTTTATAAATGCAGTCTCAGCTTTCTCTCTGTCCTCCAGCACGAAGGTCTTTTCCGTTATTGGCACAGGCAAAGATAAACCCCAGTGTTTAAAGAAAGTGTGACAATCTCTCTCCTCGTTCGGGGCCTGTCTCCGTTTCTCCTCCGGCTCGTTGGGGTGCTGCATTTGTCGGAGACACCGCTTGGTGTCCTTGGCAGTGGCCTCGGCAGAGTAGTTTTCTTCGACAGCGATTAAAACAAAACAAACACAATCTTTAGGTTCGTTCTTGCGGGCTTGGAGTGTAAAGAATTAGAATAGGGGGATGATACCATAAAACCCTAAGCTCTAAACCCTTAGCCGGGGACTTGTTGACCGAAGCGGATCCAACTGGTCTTGGGGCCCACTGGCTGCATTTGGGGTTGCTTTAGAGATTGGGTTTGGTTGGGGATTTTCGCTTCGTGTGCCTGGCTTCGAGCTACTGATCCTCAGCCCAGGGCCCAAATCCTATACCCCAGAATCCCTCAGCTTTGGCTAGCAAGAGACCACAAGGTCGGGACTTAGGTGGTTTCCTTGAAGGGTAGAAGTTTGGTATGTTGTATTTGGGATTGTCGAGATCAGGGTTTTAAGAGTTTACGGCCAAGGGTTCTTTGTTGCGGGCTTTCAGAGGTCTTGGCTTTTGCTTTTGAAAGTACGGACTCTGTCTTTACATTACACAATATTGAACCGAGGGCGGGATGTAGAAACTTCAAAGCTAAATTACTCTTTGGGGTTTCGGGCCTCGAGGGCTTGCGGCTTTGGGCTTTGGGCATGGGTTTCAGGCCTTTAGGCTTTGGGGCTTCGAGGCTTGGGCCGCTGCGAACATGGTCTGTTGTTTCTCCTGATATGCAACTTGCTTGGTGTAGGAAACCCCAAACGTAATCATTATCATTTGGGTTTCGGGTCTATAGGCCTCAGGGATTTGGGGTCCGGGTTTCAAGGTTGGTATTCTTGGACACACAGCAGCCAAGCATGTGTCTACAAGGAAGAATGGATCTGCCTAAACCCTAAAGCTACCTAGAGTCTCCATTGTAGTTCCTTTTTTTGGTTAACCAGTTTTAGGGTTAGGATCCTATAGTAGAGATTTTGGTTAACCAAAAAAAGGAACTACAATGGAGACTATAGGTAAAGCCTAAACCTTTAAAACCTAAACCCCCAAGCCCTACATCCTAGCTTCGCCGACCCTACCTGATCCGAGGACCGAGCACCCTCACCCAGCATCTCAGCATATTGAGCTGCTCGGCCGAAGTTGCCGGCAGTCTCATCACCGGAACCTGGCGTGATAGAGGATAGGATTCGTGTTGGGGTTTGAATTCGGATGTCGGCGTAGCTTCTAGGATCGGGCCTGTAGGTCATAAAGCCGTAGTTTGGGGTTTTATCGAGTGGTCCACAGGGCATTAGAGATTCGAGCTTGGATGTCGGCGTAGTTTTTAAGGTCGGGCCTGTAGGCCATACGGCCGGTTTAGGGCTTCAGGGGTTTTGGGCTTCAGGGCTTTTAGGGCTTTAGGGGTTTTGGTTTTGTGTTTTATGGCTTTAGGGGTTTGGGCCTTTAGGGGTTTCGGGCTTTGGGGCTTTGGGGCTTTAGGGGTTTTGGGCTTTAGGGCTTCAGGGGTTTTGGGCTTTAGGGCTTTAGGGGTTTGGGTTTTGTGTTTTATGGCTTTAGGGGTTTGGGCCTTTAGGGGTTTTGGGCTTTAGGGCTTTCGGGGTTTTGGGCTTCAGGGCTTTAGGGGTTTTGAGCTTTAGGCCGTCGGGGCTTTAGGGATTTTGGGCTTTACGGTTTTAGGTGTTTTGGGCTTTAGAGGTTTAGGGGATTGGGCTTTTCGGGGTTTTGGGCTTTAGGGTTTTAGGGCTTCAGGGGTTTTGGGATTCAGGGCTTTAGGGGTTTTGGGCTTTCGGCGCTCACACTCGGACAATGGGCTTTGCTGTTTTAGGGCTTCAGCATTCAGGGGTTTTGTGCTTTTGGGCTTTTGGGGTTTCGGGCTTGAGGGGTTATGAGCTTTACGGGCCTGTGGGTCTTTAACTTTAAAGCCGTTGCTGCGGGTTTCTCGAGCGGGGTATGGCATTGGAGGCTTCAGACTCGAGCAACCTTTTGGGCTCGTGCGGGCCATGCACGACGGGCCTTTGGCCCAGCGGCTTGTCCAAGCCACTCTTTCATAGAGCTCAGTGCAACTCAGCAAGCTTTTGTTGGAGCTATTGCCGCATAGCTTAGAAGGGTTGAGGGTGTAGGGCTTAGGGCATTGATACCATCACCACGAAGTGCAAGCTGAGCTAACCTGGCACCCTACTTCTTGCCCCGTTTGGGCGGCTTCTGTTCATCCTCCTCACCATCATCATCACCTTTTCTCTTGGGTGCCGCCTTGCCCTTCGCTGCAGCCTGCTTTGGCTTTGCTTTCACTTTCGGCTCGATCTTCGGGGTGCTTCCGGCGTTCGCCGGCATCCTTAATGCACAACAAGGAATGCTGCACATATTATTGAGTAGCACCGATGCAAGGCCACATGCAAACGAAGTCTTTAGGGGTCGAGGGGCTGAGGGCTTAGGGTTTAGGGGTTAACGGTTCAGGGTTTAGTAGGGCTTAGGGTTTATGGGACAAGCGGCTTGATATTCTTGGAACGTTCGAAGATCATCTCAGCTTCGACGGCCCTTAGCATTGGTACAAATAAGGAAGGTTCGGGTAGAGCTCTTGCATGTTCTTCCAGCCACTCACCGACTCACCGAGTTGCCTCGTCTTGGCGATCTGGAACTGGGCTCGCATCTTCTTCTGGTCCCTTGGCGGGATTAGTGGGTTGATGGCAGCTGACAAACATGCATACCCCAAAACCACATCCTGATCAACAACAAGCACACTAATCTGTTTGTCGAGGCTCTCTTTCGTGAACCCAACAGCAACCCCGTTGCTGTAGACCGTCGTGAGCTCGTCCTCCAGCTCGTTGAGCTTCTCCAGGATCGTTTTCAAGCTCTCCTTGTACCTTAGGTTTTGGGGTGGCACAGGAGGGCAGGTTGATGAATGTAGTCACACACGACAATTAGTCGAGCTGCTTGACCTGTGAACTCGAGAGAGGCATGTTTTTCTCCATGGACTCGAGTTTTTGGAGAACCGGTACGAGTTTCGAGCTCCGTTTCTGTAGACATGCAGTGACGAGCAGCAGCACCTCTTGAGGTCGTTTGCCAACCTCTGGGAACATCACTTTCTTGAGTATTCTGCTGGCCTCTTCACCATCATCGCTGCTGTCCTCGTCGGACTCATCATCTCCTGGCTGCAAGTATTAGGGAGGGCTTCGGGTTTTAGGGTTTAAGGGAGCTAGTTAGGAGCTACCGGTTTGGTAGTACTGGGCTTCCTGGGGCTCAGGAAACTCGCGAAATCCAATTCCCATACTTAAGAATCAGTAACTAATCACCCGAAGCCCCCAACCTAGTCTTCCAACCCAATACTCGATTGAAGCCTAAACCTAAACCCTTAACCCCTAACCCCTAGCCCCTAAACCCTAAACCCTAAAATCCTAAACCCTACAACCCTAAACCCTTGCTTCAAAGGGAATGTAAAGGCCCGGCGTGAGGCTATTGGGGGTTGTGCTTCTAACACGAGAGAACGGTTGCCGAAACTTGGATTGAAGCCTAAACCTAACCCCTAAACCCAAAACCCTTAAAACCCTAAGCCCTAAAACCCTAAACCTTACAACCTAAACCCTTTCTTCAAAGGGAATGTGAAGGCCCGGCGTGAAATAACACGATAGAACGATTGCCGAAACTTGGATTGAAGCCTAAACCTAAACCCTAAACCCTAACCCTTTTAAACCCTAAAACCCCAAAACCCTAAATCCAGGTCCAAGGGCCCAGCCACACAACGGGGTGTTGAAAAAGTACAAGCACTGCTTCGTGTATTGATAGTAGCACAAGCCTAGTAGTATTGGTAGTGCTCATCCAAAATGCAGTCGCAGCAACGGTGGCAGGAGCAGCAGCATTAGCAGAAGCATTTGCAGCAGCATCAGCAGCATCACTAGCAGCGAGGGTAGTAGGACTAGTAGTGCTAGTAGTGCTAGTAATAGTAGGAGTAGTAGTAGTAGTAGTAGTAGTAGTAGTAGTAGTAGTAGTAGTAGGAGTAGCAGTAGTAGTAGTAGTAGTAGTAGTAGTAGTAGTAGTAGTAGTAGTAGTAGTAGTAGTAGTAGTAGTAGTAGTAGTAGTAGTAGTAGTAGTAGTACTAGTATATAGTAGTACTAGTAGTAGTAGTACTCGTAGTAGCAGCAGCAGCAGCAGCAGCAGCAGGAGTAGTAGTAGTAGTAGTAGTAGTAGTAGTAGTAGTAGTAGTAGTAGTCGTGGTGGTGGTGGTGGTGGTGGTGGTGGTGGTGGTGGTGGTGGTGGTGGTGGTGGTGGTAGTAGTACTAGTAGTAGTAGTAGTAGTAGTAGTAGTAGTAGTAGTAGTAGTAGTAGTAGTAGTAGTAGTAGTAGTAGTAGTAGTTCGTATTAGCAGTAGTAGTGGTAGTAGTAGTGTAAGTAGTAGTGTAAGTAGTAGTAGTAGTAGTAGTAGTAGTAGTAGTAGTAGTAGTAGTAGTAGTAGTAGTAGTAGTAACACAGTAGTAGTAGTAGTAGTAGTAGTAGTAGTAGTAGTAGTAGTAGTAGTAGTAGTAGTAGTAGTAGTAGTATTAGTAGTAATAGTAGTAGTAGTGATAGCAATAGGCAGGGCTTAGGGTTTAGGGTTGTGCGGGGCACTGATAACCCCAGGAAAGCCTCCGGCCGCTGCATTCTCGTCATCGCCCTCGTGCGGGAACTCCTTCATGGCCTCCTCTGGATCCTGGCCGTCTCCCTGATCCTCACCTTCGAGAATCTCGGCCACAGTGTGCCTCTTGGTTTTCCTGGGCAAGGAAGCTAGGACAGAAGTTCGGGGCTACACACACAAAAAAAGACTCCACACATAATCTAAAACCATGGCACTTGTTGGAGCCCTTGACCCTCACAGCCACCCAGTACATCCACTCATCGCAGTATTCAGACTTCCTCTGCAACAGAGCAGCAGCTGAGCCTATGTGCAGTGAATCGAAACACTAAAAGTAGAACCAATCTCCTCTTCCATCCGGGCCGTTTCTCACAGCTTTTCTTGGCGCCCTTGATCTTCTTCCTCGGCTAAGGAAGAAGGTAGTGATAGGGTTTTGACTTTAGGCTTTAGGGGCTCAGGGGTTTAGGGTTGTAGGGTTTAGGGTAGTAGGGTTTAGGTATGATCATCTAAGACACTCGCTCCAGCCTTTCTCTTCCATTTCCTGTTCTGTCAGGAATCCGAACTCGGTTTCCACCGATTTCTCGTTGATCTCTTCGTACTTTCGGTTGATTCTTTTCGAGAACAGCACCTGGCTGCTTAGTGGGAGATTAGCAGGGAAAGTATGATATTGTATCGACAAGGTACCATAAACGAGACAGGCAAACCGGGTCGCAACCACACTTCTCGAAGCTCCGGTAGACTTCCTCCCTAGTTTCGATGTTCTTGTAAGTGTTGATAACATCCTGTGGTATCTTGTACGATCCATCCTCCCTTGGCGTACACAACCGGGCCAGCCGTTTCATCAGGGTGGCTTTGCTCACCTGTGCGGGAGGGGCGATGGCCTGATCCTCCTCTCCTAGACAATACTCATCATCCTCCTTCGTCTGGCCTGGCTTGGCTTTGCTGCTGGGAAGGAGTCGTTTGGGCTGGGCTTTGGCTTTTGCCTGCTGATCCTGGCCAGTTGCGGCTTGCTCCGGGGTCTTGGTTTCACTGGGCACAAGGGACTGGCTCTGGGCGGCCTGGCTTTCTGCGGGTTTTTTGCTCTCAAGGGACTGGCTCTGGGCGGCCTGGCTTTCTGCGGGCTTTTTGCTTTCAAGGGACTGGCTCTGGGTGGCCTGGCTTTCTGCGGGGTTTTTGCTTTCAAGGGACTGGCTCTGGCTGGCCTGGCTTTCTTCAGGCTTCTTGATTTGAACAGGCTGGCCGGTCTGGCTTTGTGGCTGCTGGGTCTCGGGGGCCGAGTCCTGCACTGTGTCAGGGAAGGTTTGGCGGACAGGCGAAGTTTGCTCGCTTGGGGTGTTAGGAGGTGGCAAAGAGGGGAACTGCTGCTGGGAACCCGTCTGGGAGGAGTGCCACGAGGTGCCACGTGACGGACCATCCTATGTCGAAAAACAACCAACACTTTATTCAGCTCAATAACAAGACACACTGATACAAGCAGGTCCTTCTTGCTGGCCGGCTCCAAGCCCTGGGCCTTCATCTGATCCTGGGATCGGTTACAATGGGGGCCCATCAAGGGAAGAAGCCTTCGTGAATGCATCCCACACATTTGGTTCTATTCAATCCAGAGCACCAAAAGGGCCTGTCTCTGGGCCAAAAGGCTTTCCATTTCGGGATCTCCCTCCATGGCACAAAACAGCAGAGCTGCAGGCCCTATGTTGGGCCACAAAAGCCTGCACAACACAGGTCACAGCTGATGCTCTGCTGGGGTGAGGGACCCATCCCGGCTATTCCCGCCCTTTGGACGGGCACGGAGGCAGCCGGCAGCCCAAAATGTAGGAAAACCCGACCAAACCCCCCAAAACCAGCGGTAGGGCCTGCAAAACTCCGACCAAACCCCCAAAACCAGTGGTAGGGCCTGCAAAACGACGACCAAAGTCCCAAAACCAGTGCTGGGGCCTGGACAACCCCGACCAAACCCCGAAAACCCGTGGCGGGGCCTGCTTCCCCGATGTTCATGTTGCTCGCTCGGCCCCCTTTCTCTGTCACTGTCTGTGTCATTTCATCACTTTGCCTTTTCTTTCTTTGTTCTTTTTCTCTCTCTCTCTCTCTCTCTCTCTCTCTCTCTCTCTCTCTATCTCTATCCCTCCCTTTGCCCTAACACTGTCTGAGTGCCTAAACAATTACTTGTCAACACAGTCATGCAGTGTCAGCAACATAGCATCTTCTTTTGCGGCACACCAGGCAAGCTCCGAACCTCAATCCATTTCCTCCAAGAACTTGCGTGCAGCAGCTTCTGCCCTATGCAAGCATGTCGGCTTGTGCTCTCCAGGTCTGTCTTTGCAAACTGAGCAGCAGTGGATATGTGGAGGAAAAACCTTACGATCACACGTCATGCAGTCTCGAATCGGCTCCAGTGCAACGATAGCAGCATTCATCCTCGAGCATTTCTTGCTATGACGTTCGTTCTTTCGACAGCCACGACAGCAGTAGCGATGCAGCCCATCCACCAACCGTGCACAGCCTTCTTTCGAGCAGACTCTTTGATCGTGGCTTCCATTGGATCCGACTGCTAGGGCCGCCATACTAATTGCTGCGTAGTACCGCACCTACAATGGAATATAGTGGAATGCTAAGCTAGCTAGCACCTAGGACCTAGAGTGGAATACGAAGCTAGCTCTTTGACAAACCAACACTGATCTTTGGACTTCCCAGGCAAAGCGTGGCGACTTCGGAGCCCGACTTGCAGCTTGAGTCGGCCAAGGAATCTAGGGTTAAGGGTTTTGGGGTCGACGGAGAGAAACAGAGCGAACTCACAGGATTGAATTTGGCTGAAATGCCTTCGTGTTTAGGGTTTGGGGTTGGGCTGGAAGGCTTTCGGGATTAGGGGTTTAAGGTTTAGGCTTAAGGCTATTGGACTTCGAAGTTTGGCATTTGGACTTTGGGAGTTGTGCAAAGACTTGGTAGTTTCTGGTTTCACATTCACAAGCGAGATAAGCCACTTTCATAGATTCAAGGTTTAAGATCTTTGACTTAGGTTTTGGGTAGATGATACAGAACAAACACCGAATCCCAAAAATCCTTAGATTATTGCGTACAGAACTTGAAGCCTTCTTGCTGCAAAGGCTTGGGATTAAGAAGCCTAGGATCCGGGATCACAAATAAAGCTTAAGCCACATAAACCCCTAATATCCTGTAATACCAAATAGTTGTTCTTTGGGGGGCTTCACTCGTGTGCTTCAGGATGCAGGGCTACAGCTTGAACCTGGAGACCCCAAGCCCTCTAGATTCTATGCCGCACAACCGAAGGAGTTTCAGGTTGGGGCCTCCGACAACCAATACCTGGAACACCCCCCTTCTCAGTCTGAAATCGCACAAAGATAAAGGCAAGTATTCGAACCCCAAAGCCACTTCGGCGCTCACACAGGGTTTAGGGTTTTAGGGTTCAGGCTGAGGGTTTGGAGTGCTAGATCGAAGAAAGCTACCAAAGCCCGTCCCAAGCCAGGCCACAATCTCAAGCGGCAAGCCCCACCGTCCTCAGACCCGCCCCGGAAACCCCAAGCACCTTAAACCTTAAAGTAACCTAAGCCTTCCAAACACCTAAAACCTGAAAGTAACCTAAGGCTTCGCACTCTAAACCATACCCAGGTTCCAAACATGGCGGCCCACTTTCTTCCTCGGCAAGCCCAAACTGCTGGAATGCCCAGACGGTGCTCATCCTTTCGATCGTACCTGGCGACGTGGGACGAGAGCATCTTATCTTCAATATCTATGCAGAGACTTGGCTTCAGTATCAATCAATGCAGTCGCTGGTCATGAAGACTCACTCAACTTTTGTTGCTGCCACGAACATACTGCATCTCTCGCCATGACTCTTGCTTCCTCTAAAGGGCAGTGTTTGGCGACCCAGCAAGCATAACCCGGTGCGTGCAGGTAGTCACTCCTGAGCACTAACTTAAGCACAGCCCACACTCGCCCCTGGAAAGCAGACACCCGTCAGGGGATCCTAGTTGATCCCAGAGAGTTGCACTGGAACTGAAACACAAAAGCAGGCCCGAGTCGATGCTATGACTCAGGATCACTCATGTAGCCGGCGGTCGGATCGTACCACGGAGCCTCGGATAGGGTGGCATAGTTCATGGAAACTTGTAAGCTTTAATTACAATTGAAACAGTTCATTGCTCTAGACGGGCGGCTTTAGTTGTCAAGGTTGTCCAGAGCACCATTTGCTCTCTGCATTTCCAACCACTCAAAGGCAACCTGCTGTGCCTTCGATCTGAAGTGGGGCTGTTCCTCCTGGATCAGCATGGGCCGGCAGTGCTTCCAGAAGAGATCCTGCAAGCAGAACATAAATGGGTTTCGACTTAAGAGAGCTTAGGGCGTAGAGGGTGTTAGGGTTTGGAAAGGTCTAGGGCTTCATGATTCGAGGCTTAGAGGGTTTAGGAGGATTGTGGGCTTTGAGTATGATCAAGGCCTTAGCCAGGAGTGCTTAGAGAAACATTAGAATCAGTAGAGATTCAGTGTTTTTTGGTTTCTCCGATTAAGCAGCGATTTAAGTTTAGGGATTTAGGGGTGTGTGGCTTTAAAGTAAACTTTAGGGTTCAGGGCTTTTTCGGGTTTAGGTGGGACTAGATTTCGGCTGGCAATCCTCGTGCTTAGCAGGGAAACGGAAGTGTTGGCGAATCACGGCATTGAAGGCATCCCGGATGGAGGTCCAAAGGCACTTGGAGTCCCCCTCGGTTGGGGGCTCGAACCTTCTGGCGAACGTCTTTTTTAGCGTAGGCTTCGGCTCGTTGCCCTTCTTGGCAGGCTTCGGCAGTGGCTCGTCGTCGTCACCCTGCTTGCCCTTCTTAGCAGGCTTCGGCACTGGCTCGTCACCCTGCTTGCCCTTCTTCGCAGGCTTCGGCTTCGGCTCGTCGTCACCCTGCTTGCCCTTCGTAGCAGGCTTCGGCTTCGGCTCGTCGTCACCCCGCTTGCCCTTCTTGGCAGGCTTCGGCTCCTCGTCGTCACCCCGCTTGCCGTTCTTGGCAGGCTTCGGCTCCTCCTCGTCACCCTGCTTGCCTCTTTTGGCAGGCTTCCGCTTTGGCTCCCCCTCCTCGTCACCCTGCTTGCCTCTTTTGGCAGGCTTCCGCTTTGGCTCCTCCTCGTCGTCACCCTGCTTGCCTCTTTTGGCAGGCGTCGGCTTCGGCTCCTCCTCGTCGTCACCCTGCTTGCCTCTTTTGGCAGGCGTCGGCTTCGGCTCCTCCTCGTCGTCACCCCGCTTGCCGTTTTTGGCAGGCTTCGGCTTCGGCTCGTCGTCACCCCGCTTCCCGTTTTTGGCAGGCTTCGGCTTCGGCTCCTCGTCGTCACCCTGCTTGCCTCTGTTGGCAGGCTTCGGCTTTGGCTCGTCGTCGTCACCCTGCTTGCCTCGTTTGGCTGGCTTCGGCTTTGGCTCCTCGTCTTCACCCTTCTCCGAAGGCTTGGCCCGGGCTTTTGCTTTCCCCTTTCGGCCAGCCCCTCTTGCCACCACCCTTTGTTGTCGACTTGGCTGCAGGCCGCTTCATGGGAACCGGCTCGGGATCTTCAGGGTCCTCCTCCTCCCTCTCATCGTCTGCCCGCTTCGCCTGCTCCCTTTCTTGCATCTGGTCTCTCCGTCTCGTCTGAACCTGCCGAGCTTGGAGAGTGGGCCGATTGAAGGTTCAGGGGTTAAGTAAGGGTTAGGGTTTTGGGGTTTGGGGTTTAGGGTTATTGGCTGTGGTAGTTGTTGCACTGTTTGTAGTATGAGTACTAGTACTCGTACGAGTACTAGTGGAAATCATAGTAGTACTACTACTACTACTACTACTACTACTACTACTA